ACAAGCTTTCGAGATTACAGCTCCTCATCAGGTCAGCAGAAATTTGGAATGGCTTCGTTTTTATCTACATGGGTGTTCGTGTGTGATTTACTACTACTATTATATATTTTATATAGATGAAAGCCAGCCTGGGCCTAGAAGCACCGTAGTGCCATGGAACACTATCAACAGTAAGCTGCCGTGGAACATAGTGCTGCTCATGGGAGGCGGCTTCGCCCTGGCAGACGGCGTTCAGGTATTAGAACGTGGCTTTACTTGCCGTAGATCATTGCTCGTAGATTATTGATATCGATACCTCGATATGAATATATCGGCGCGTGTAGTTTTGATTTCGGCGTAAATATATATATATTAATATACCACATTCATAAAGCTTGCAGAGTGCGCATGTCCACTTCTATTGCAGTGATAGATCACTGTAGTTTATTAATAATATTTGTATTAATAATTATTTAAAAATTAAATATATTGTATTCGTTTTTCAGAGAGATTCATTTTTAATCACAATCGTATTAAATCACACCTTTAGCTTAGCATTAGATAATTTAAGCAAAATTTAAATTTAGCTAAATTAAAGTCAGCATGATCAACACCTAGTTGAGCTCGGAATATCTACTCCAAGAAAGTAAACTTCCATTTCCAACAGGAGTCGGGTCTGTCGCGTCTGATCGGCGAGCAGCTGCGAGTGTTGGATGCTCTACCTGCGTGGCTGCTCGTACTCGTTCTCTGCCTGCTCGTCGCTTCTCTCACGGAGACGGCTAGCAACGCAGCCACGGCCTCCATCATGATACCCATACTCGCCGACCTGGTAATGACCACCTGTAATTGCTAGAATCTCACTACGTGGCGCTACGGGAGCAGAACAGGGAGAGCCGTATATAGAGATATCTCTATATCTGCGTATCTCTATATACGGCTCTGAGAACAGGGTAAAAGCACGATGATGTAGCCGTCCCTGCGCTACGCATGATGATGATGATGATGACTAGGAATAAGATGGAGCTCTATCCGATGAGCTTAGACTGTAAGCAATAACATACATTCGTTCTGTTGCGCGTGTGTGGTTTTTTCTCTCGCTCTCTCTCTCTCTCTCTCTCTCTCTCTCTCTCTCGGTCTGTCGGTCTCTCTCTCTTTCTCTCTCTCTCTCTCTTCACTCCCTCTCCCTCTCTCGTCTGCCTCCTATTCTCTTTTTCTCCTTTCCCCCTCCCTCTCTCTGGCTACTGATTATATTCTGTGTTTCAGGCAGAGGCGCTGTGCATACATCCCTACTACCTGCTTTACAGCGCCACGATCGCCTGCTCCTTCGCGTTCATGTTGCCCGTGGCAACCCCTCCAAACGCCATCGTGTTCGGTTACGGAGTGCTCAAGATATGGGACATGGTGACTATCGTAACCTAATGATATGGGACATGGTGACTATCGTAACCTAATGATATGGGACATGGTGACTATTGTAATTCCTAATGATATGGGACATGGTAACAAGTTTAGTTAGGATGTGAACAACCTATATGAAAAGTCTAACGCTGTTATTCGTTAAGTTCACGTGTCGTGCCTATTAGCCTTCACCTGTAAGATGTAGAGCAATCGCTGTAAAAGTATATATTATATATATAAATAAATTACTAAGTACAAACTTGGCACTTAAACGGGATAGCAAGGTAGCAAAATAGCAATGTGTTATTGTGTTTCTGTAGCGGTAAAAAGGGGTAAAACGTACGAAGGTACCAATGTAGTAATATGACAAAGTAGCAAAGTAGTAATGTAGCGAGGTGGTAGTGTGTTGAGGTGTCAATGTAGCGAGGTAAAAAATTGCAAGGTAGCTAAGTAGCAAATACCGCCTCCTCGGGTAATCTCGTCAAATGGTCAATCAGAATTGGAGGAAAAACACCAAATACACTTTGACTCTTTACCTTCTTTGACTATAAGCCCCTTTAATATATACATCTTCCCTCGTATATGTTTATTTTATTAAGACTGCAAGCGTGCAAGCGTATGTGTGTGTGTGGCGTTTAGGGTATATGCTGCATGTGTCTCTTTACAGGCTGTATGAGAGTCCAGAGGCACAGATCTCCTACACGCAGTGGATGATGTTTGCTCTTCCTAACGCCATGCTGTGTATCGCCGTCAGCTGGATCTGGCTGCAGATTCATTTCTTCGGCTTCAGGTATACCGAAACAATAAACTTAAATATCTTTTGGCAATAAAAATGTAATTGTAACAATCAGACATAACTAACTGGCAGCAAAACGTAGTAAAAAGTAAAGCTCGATTCATTGGCACTATCACTATTCCCATATCGTAAATTTGAATTTGTTTATTCTGAATACATTAGTTGTCTCAATAAGATTTGGCGGCAAATATTTCGGGTAAATAATTTAAGAGGTCGGGGTTCATTCTACGCGACAGAACTCTGTGTTTCTGCTGTAAGAAAGCACCGTCGTCACATGATCCTGCGAGCGACGGAGCCGCCCACGAGATCATCAGACGGGCGTACGCGCGGCTCGGCAGCGTAAGACCAGTTATAGCAATACACCAGCAGCGCTTGTGTGCGCTCTACACTTCTCGCGAATGAAATCCGATTGAAATCGTTTTAAAACGGATAGACCTCGCAACAAAAGGCCTACATAGACCTACTGTGAGCATACTTGCAGTGTGCAAACATCACGAAATGTTCTCATTGAGCCAGAAATGTGTTCCGAAGTTGACTATTTTGAAAACTTGCGTCAGACGCAAGTTATTTGTACGAAGTGCCACACTGCCAGATAACGCAAAATAGTATCCATACGCCATAGCGCAAATAGTTCCTGGAACGAAAACACTATATTTGTTTCTTAGTTGTATAAGTAATATAGATAACTATATATGATTTAAACAAATTTCACAATTTTGTACTGAATAAACATCGAATAATGAATTATAACTTGTTTTATCATAGAAAGGAACTGTTACTGAATCAGGTAGATCGCTCCGCTATGTTCCGATGTGTTAACATCACTGTTGTGCTACGTTCGTAAGAAAAGTAATTTTGTTTAGATTTTGAGAAGAAATGTTATGAAAGTAGCAATACAAATGAGTTGTAGTAAATTTTTGCAACATATGCAAGCTCACAGTAGGTATATATATGCATTTAGCTGCAAGGTTGATCAACTGGGGGCCAATCTGACCACAGAGATGAAAATTGCGCTCTTGTTTTGGTAAATTGGAAATTTTGGCGTAATTTGGAAAATTGCGCTCTTGTTTGGCGCAATTTAATCCAGTCAGTGGTCACGTAGATCACTACTACCACATTCTGTGGTGAGATGGTGAGATCTCTGCTATGTGGTGCGCGGGCCAGACGGGCATCACGCGCATGCGCATATCGGCCACTCGCCACCGAGATAGAGCGAAATGTGTCGGGTAGTGTAGTATTAGGTGGTTATAAGGTGCGTGTACTGACGTTTTATTCTGTAATCGCTAACGAAACCCGTGGGAAGTTGGACCGAGTTTGAAGATTGTTTGTCGAACACTAGAATTTCTGCTGTAGTCGGTGGGAATGGTGGTTGTCCACGCGTTGATGGTCGATAGATCGTATATCTTTTGAGATTTATTGGCCCCTCGTTGAGATGTCGCCGACTGTTTCAGCTCCAACGAAGTCGTTGTGCTCTTGAACTTCACTCTGCTCGTCATCCTATGGCTTTTCAGAAATCCAGAATTTCTTCCTGGCTGGGGAACGATTTTCAAAGAGGGGTATGCCACTGAACGTAGAACGTATATATGGTCCGTGTAATTCTGCAACGGAATAAGCTCAACTTACCTTCTCTGTCGTTCTTCAAAACCTCTATTTATCGTTATGATGATTATACAGAAATTACCGTCAGCGTGGGGGTTATATATATATATATATATATATATATATATATA